CATTTTGAACACCAAATGTGAAGGAAGTAGAAATTTCCAGTTTTAATCCAGCAGCTTGATTGTTAGTGCATTTGTAAAGCTTCTGAAAAATAAAATCTAATCCTATTCTCCTTTAAACTATGGGCTGTTCTAGTGTAGAGGTATTTTTGAAGAGTATCTATTTCCTTGGCCAATTGGCTAGATTGGATAGTTTCTCCCTGCAGTCCCCCACCAGCTCTTCATGCTAAAGAGTGACTCTGTGGTTTCAGATGGGAGGAGTTCCTTTGGGTGCAAGGGAAGTGTAGGAAGTATGTGTGTTCCCTAATGTGGTCTGTAGTGATTCATTTTGCTCATATTTGACAAATTTTATTTTATGCCAAGAAATGACAGGATCTGGAATTAAGTATGGCAGTATGGATTTACTCTGTGAGTTTGGGTGCATTCAATTTAACTTTGGAAGAACATCCTTACCTGATTACCAGACAATGTATACCAGCTACTTTGGTAAGAAATCTCCTATAAATAAAAGAAAAACTGTGTCTCAACACATATGATCCTTCTAATGATGACCAGTTGTTTAATCAGTTTCTCTGATTTTTCGTATCAGAAGAAAAAGGTTTCTGTTTGTATACTTGACAAAGCCAAGGATTTTGATTATAAAAACAGGTCAAATACATAACAAAGCAGTCTGCAAATGCAGTGTTACAAGAAAGTAACATTTCCTGGCTTTTACCCAAAGTTCTCTCCTCAATTATTTATATTTGCAAGTTCACCATTGCAAAATCTGTCTTCTAGATGAAATAATATTCCTCCTAGACTTTCTGAAGGGGGAAAACAAGTGTTCAGTAATGAAGCCCTTAAGAATATTGCTTTTGGGGAGTTTTGCATGTATGCAAAAACATGCATTTAGGTAAAGCTGAAGTTGTCAGAAAGTGTTACAAAATGCAGTAATGTAACATGTCCTGAAGCTACTAGGCTCAATCAAAGCTCAGAAAGGCACTTTTCTGATGTGCTGTATTCCATGCATGCTTATGCTGGAATGAAGCTGTCCTAGTCAGTCAGGGAGACAGCATGCTATAATTAATGACTCCTCTATAGCAGTCTCCCCAGTTATGTCATTCAGTGTGATCTGACTGATTTATATGATTTACGTATGAACCAGTTATTTCTAAACTTTGAAGTCTGTGCAAATTTCTCTGCTACAATTATCGTAGAGCCAATTGCAATGTGTTTGAAAAGACAGGAAAAAATCAAGCTGTACCCATACACAAATGTTACTTACAGAAAAAACACTGAAACTCCTGAGCTCAGGAACAGCTTTCCTCAGGAAACGAGGATTTTGAGGTTTCAAATACCCCTGAATGAAATTGATATCTGCTTTTTGGCTGGTCTGGAGGAAAGTACTTAGATGTAAGAGGCTCTGAATTTTATTTTTTTTTAAGATGGAAATGAGGAATGGGCTTTTGAAAAGCATTTCATTACTCAGCAGCAAGAAGGTGGTTGAAAATCAACTTTCTGTGATAATCTCCAGATTTCATGAGTTCATAGCTTTCTGAAATATTCACACTCTAAGCTGGATTTCTTTTGTATTTGGGTTCTTACCAAGATTTTAGAATATTAGAGTAAAATTTGATTATTTTTTGCATGAAAGATAATTCAGCTGCTGTTGAAGGAAGAAAAAGACCTGACTGTATTCTTTGAAAATAAAGGTGCAGAAAAGCCAGCTGAAGCTGAGAAGTGAAACCTGACTGCTCACTGAAGACTAGGTTCACAAAGGCACTTAACTGCTGTAATGCAGGATTTAACTTTTAGCCTTCAGACTTCTAAACTAGCCATACTATTGGTAATATTTCCCTGAGCCACAGTTTGGGTACCTAAAGGCACATCAATACTGCTAAGTGACAGCTGAATATGGAGCAGGATTGAGAACAGGGCTCATCCCTTGCTTGGGTCACAGTTTAATTGTTATCCCTCTTCAAAGATGTGGTTTGGACCTCTCCACCTGTCTCTCCATGCAGTACACTTTTGGCAGGACAGACACTGCCTCCAGAGACCTGCATGAAGCTATCTGTCTTATTGTGGCCCCCTCCCTTCTTTCAACTCTAAGCAGAGTATAGTCTAAGCACTATGAAACCTCCAGCCTCACTTCAAAATACACAACATTATATTTCACTTCCTTTTACTCCCACTGCCTGCACTGCTGACTCCTATTATTCCGAACACTTTGAGCTGAAAAACAACCACACAAAATAATTGTGTATTTTAGTCACTCAGACACTAAGTGGAGCCCAGAGGAGACTCAGTGCCAGTACAGTGTGGTAGTATGGGATGTGGCCAGCTTAGAGCAGAAGGTGCGAGCAGTAAGCAAAGTGAATGTCAGCCAGCAGGCACAGCAATTCATCTATGCTTGCATTTTGTGCCACCAGTGTAGCATATTCTGAAACCAAGTTCTGCAACATCCAGCTTGATCAGCAAGGATCTGCTTGTGTTAGTCTGTGGCAGAAGATGATGCAGATAAGTCAGATGCAGATAGAAATTATATGACAGAGGCTTCTGTAGAAACCTTCTCCATCTGCTCTTTGCCTGAACCCCACCTCTTGGCTTCTTCTCTTAAAAAAACCTATTACTTCACTCCTAATATAAGCAGAGCACCTTTCTTTCTTGTAAAATGCTGTTAATGATTCCACCAAGTTGCATGAGAGATATTAAGACACTCAGACAAGATATGAGACACCTGGGTCCTGCCCATTCTTTTTGAGTGGTTGGAAGCTATCCTGGCTGCTTCACAGTGGAGTGTGAGCAGAAATACTCTGTTAAATCAGTTGTGCAATGTGATGAGAATTCAAGATTCACAGGGCCTGTGTAAATAGGTACTCTAACTGGTATTTAAGGTCCTGTCCTAGCAGATCTGGGACATGATCTGGGTTTCTGGCCGAGTGAAGCATGATAGCTAGTCTCCTCTCAGATTGCTCTTGTAATAAAATACGGCTCACATAAATATGGATGGTATTTGCTTTATATACAGACAATATAAGAAAAGTAATATATAATATAAAGACAGGGACTGTCTTCTCTCTTTTAGATGTCTTTTCAAGAATTAGATTGGCAAGAAGTTTTTGTGTAAGATCAAGATCTTATGGGTATATGTCAGCACAAGTACCAAAGTGGATTTGGGAAGATGCAGATGGGAAAACATCCATATGGATTCTAGCTGAATTTAGGGGTCAGCTAGGTGCTGATAACCAGGCATTGACAAGACTACAGGAACTGGGAAGCAGCATAACTTTAAGCATGAAAAGAACCTAGCTGATAAAACTCTCAGTACACACAGAGGGAAGTATCCCTGGCTTTAAGCAGCAATTTCAATGTAAATTTGAAGATTCTGTTGTTGTCTGTACATATATGTATTCTGCTTACTTTCTTGTTTGGTGCTAGTCTCTTTGTAAAAATTGACCTGTTCTAGCTTTGGAGGTATACAGTAGTTGGATAAGTGACTCAAAAAAGTAGTTCTAAGTAGTGAAAATAATAAAGTCCACCTTTTTTTGAATTTGGATTTTCTGCTGTTCAATAAGGTTGAAGTTTCTCCTTGTGCTTTTTCTAACCAACAGGTCATTCACAGCATCATTTTCAATGTGGATTCTTTGATATCTATGAGGAACTGACCTCATGTTTCACCCTTTTCCTCAGTAAAGGCAATAATAGAGCCTCTCTCCTCTTTGTCTCCCAGCTGTCTATTTAAAAGAAAAAAACATGTAGGCTCTTAATGTACTGAGACCTGAAGTACTCAGTTAAATTTGATTGAAACTGGCTGATGGTTCAAAAGCTATTGGAAAAGGATGGATAAATATACCTTCACACATACCATCAGTGTTCTGCTAGAAAACTAAAGCAAAAATCCCTTCTGAACATATTCAGAAGCATGTGCTATATCTCAGAACCATTTTAATTTAAAAATGTCCTGTGTAAAGACTATTTTCTGTATAGTTCTCTAAAAATCAATGATTTAACATCAAAAAGGGAGAAACAAATTCCAGGGAAAAAAGAAACACAATTTTAGTACAATGCTGATAATACAAACAACATCAATCAGTTCAGCCTGTACCACTATAGTGCAAAGTTAGATTCATGCTTTCAGCCCAAGTTAACATGATTACGGAAAAATAGTTTAATCCCTTCAAATTCATATCAGTGGTGTTGCATTTATTCATAAACCAACAGGTTGAGTGAAAGGAGTGTCATTGCTTTGCAATCTCCTGTCCAGGAATTTTGAAATCACTGAGGAACCTGCAGCTCTTTGTCATTGCTCTAGATTGTCACTCCACCATGAGATACTTGTGCTCCACTGCACCATGACAAGACGCTAATCTGGGTAGTACCTAGTGTGCACTATTGTCTATAATGCTTTTTGTCACTTGAGATGTTGAAAGCATATTAAAAAAAAAATAAAAACCCCAAACAAACTGTCCGATCTCTTTATGAATTTGTCTGAGAAGAAATAAGGGTATTTTTGTCTGGAAACAGAATGATATCCCTTTGTCATCATGTAGTTCTGAATAAATTTATAGAGACCATCAAGATTATCCTGGATTTACTGCACTTTAATAAAGAGGAGATTTTAATCCAGTGCTGGTGTGACTGACATTTCTAGCTTGCATAGGAAGAGTGAGAAGTCTCCTCAGGATCCTCCACGCTAGGATCAGTCAGTTACTACCCAGTTGATTCCCTGGATGTTTTTCCTTCGCTTTTCCAGGAGATTTTGTGTGGGAGGGCTGGGGAGGCAAGCACTGCTATCAGTAGGGGAGTGTTGATTTCTGCATTCCTGAAAGTCACGGCTGTGCTAAATGAAGATAATTGGCAGGAATTGATTAGTTTTACAGGAGGGTATTATTAAGGGCTGAGCTCTTTTCACAAATTGCCCCTTCTGCACTTTGAGAGACATAATCTCAGCCATCCCGAAATTCACAGAACAGGAGATTGATTTCCTCCTTTTTCTTTTTCTTTCCCTGCCTTAAACTCTGCAGGTCAGTCCCACCCCAGGGTGCATCCGGGCGTTAATGAAGATGTTGTACTGCCCTTACTGCAGAGGACTTCCCACTGTGAAACCTTGCAACAACTATTGCCTCAATGTAATGAAGGGCTGCCTGGCAAATCAGGCTGATTTGGATACTGAGTGGAATCTGTTCATAGGTAAGAAGAGTTTAAATATTAGCGGAAGGAAACACTGGTGATATCAAATCGCCTCAGGGTTCTGTGAGGTTAGAAGACACTGTTGGTCAATATTTGGGATGAAGCAACTGCAGATGCAGCTCACTTTCTAATTGAACTTCTTGGCTTGCAGTAAGAAATGGCTGCTCTCTCCCTGCCCTAAGCCAGCCACATTTCACATTTCATATTTCCAAAGGAATGGTGTGGTGTTACAGCTCCTGAGCTGAATTATTACATGCTATGGGAAATGTTGAGAAAGATTTGGTTGAGGATTTGATAACAAGCTTAACATGGCAGAAATAGTATGTATTACAACTGAAAACTAGGCTCTTGCAAGCTGAGAAGATAATAACATTGTATAACATCCAGTCAACATAAATCACAACAGCTGCTGCGCTTAATTCTGGTGGTACATAGTCAAAAAGCTTTAAGATTTACATATATGAGAAATAATTAATTCCTCATTCTTGATTAAAATATGTTAATGTCTCCCTTCCAGTGTACTGAATAGGAAGTACCAAACATGCAACCTAATGTTAGAATGGAACATAGAATATATATTTAAGGAAAACTGTTCCCACAGTTTATTCGCATAAATCTTCACTCAAATAAACTAAGAATATAAAAAGAAAGAAATGTCCCTTAAAGAGCCATTCAGCTGTCCTGTAGCAAAACAAAGCAAAACAAAAAAACAACAACAAAAAAATGCCAAAAAAATCCACGACCCAAAAAAACACCAAAAAATCAACCTCCCAGAAGAGTAACATATAACAAAAAATATTACTTTTAAGTTGCTTTTGGTGGTAGGATAGGATGACAATTAGACAAGGCTGATGATAATATGGAAGGAATGGAACAGCTAGTTAGCCTAGACACTAATGAGTGTCATAGTCTAGACTGGATTTCAGAAAAATAAATGCAGCTGGAAAAAAATGGGATAAAACTTTTTTTATTGCAGCTGAAGAAAGGAAATTTATTTTCTGTTAAAGATAAAACATAAGCAATCTCATTCGGCTTAATTTCAAACCCCACTGACCAAAGTGACTTTGAAAATTTGACTCTGACTCATTCATGGATTTTTGCTTTACTCAGCAGTGCAAGATGGATAGGAAGAAGAAAACAGGATGAAAAATGAATCAGAGTATGAAAAGTGAAAACGAGCATTGAGCATGCTATAAAAATAGCATGCAAACAACAATATTAAACAAATGATGCAGATACACTTGCCTTCCCTAAGGACACTGCATAAGCTACTTTCCTTGACATTGAATAATAAGCAAGTGCTGAAAAGTCACTAATTCTGATCAAAAAAATAATGTAGGCTTTTAAGAAAAAAAACCAAACAAACATTTGAACTAAAATAAACAACAGAGTTTTTATTAAGGCAAGCACCTGTTTAAATCAAAAGCTGGAATTTAAGGTTTGAGATGTTAAGAGAAGATTTCCTTTTCTGGTGCTTTAAATTCTGTGAGAGTCCTGGGCATGGTGAGATGTGTTGGAAAGTGTGGAAATGCTTACAGATTCAGACTTTCAGAGTCTTTTCTGCAAAGCCCTTGCCTTCATCAAAATCACTCTGATTTTGATTGTTCTTTCTCTCAGAAAATAAAAACTGCATGAAAGCTTGTATGTTATGTTAAAACATAGTATTAATTTATTAAATACCATGTCAGGCAGGCTACTGTGCAATTATCCCTGCAGGTCAGTGATGACAAGACAATATACAGTACAAATACATCAAATCATATTTCCTCTTTCTTCTAACTACAACTATACAACTTGTATCTATGCAACTTTCCCTCTGTAACTTTATGGAGAAGAAAATAGAGGAGATACAGAGATTTTCATGTGTTTGGAAAAGGTATTCTGTTTTATCCCATTTTTCAGGCCTCTGACAGCTTTGCTGAAGATGAGGGTCCTTCCTTAATGAAAGACTGAAATGAGGCAAGTTGTCTCTGTCTCTGACAGCTGTCAGAGGCTTTCTAATAACACATGCAATTCCCTTAGTGGTAAACACAACAAAACTTCTACTCACTGAATTAAAACAAGCAGTAGCATTTTACAGCACCGCTGAGCTATGAAAGATTAGAAATTATGCATGAGCAGTTTTTATCCCTGTTCCAGTACTAGGAACCATGCACTAGCAGAAAAAAAAATAAAGATAATTTTGTGCATTAACAGTCTCTGCCTAGGCAGGAATCCCAAATGTTAGTGCATATTCATACACAAGATAGTTTTGCTTAGCTCATAATCTGTGCATTGCAAAATAGTTTGGCTTAGTTCATAATCTGAGCATTTCAAGGTTGTTTTGACAGAAGTCGGTACCAGGAGAAAACTCTCAGATATGTTTGTCAGTAACTAAGTAAATCCTGTGCTTTGGACTGCACGTCCTGATACTGTTCTGGAGTAACAGCAATGGTCCAGCAGCAGGCAAGATCTGCACGTGAGGAGGAGCAGAGGAAAGTAAATGGGCTGTTTGACAACAGGATGTGTTGCATGTTTCACCTACTTTATAAATATAGAAGTCAGGACTGAAATCACATATATATGGCACTAATAAATCTTGCCTCTACTTTCAAAGCTAGGGAGAGTGTGACAACTTCCCCTAAACATCTGGTGCTTTCCAAGATTTTATAGACTGTGAAAATTGGTAAGAGGTGAAACAGCTGCAGAAGCATGACACATGGCTTATTATATATTTCCTGGTTTTGTCACCTTAAAGTCTGTGTCCTTTTTGTGTAATGTTTCATTATAGGCTTTTTGTATTTTGTTGCCTTTATTACGGTGTGATAAAAACCAAATGTAACACATCTCGTTCAGACAGATCATCTGCAACTCAGAATTTTGCCTGAGAAAGGAAGACAGTCTTTAATATCATATTATAATTATAAAACTGTAATGACAAAATGCTCCTTCCAGGTATCTATATAAAATATTTAAGAGGTATTTAAAAGTAAACCTGTCACACTGACTTTGAAAATGTGTATTTTGCAAAGCTTGCTTCTGATGTTTTGCCTGTCAGTTACCCATCATAATCTCCTCTGCACCCATCTCAAGCAAAATTAGCAAATGAAAGATAAAAAAGCATGAGCAGAGGAACTGTTCTGCTGAGGAAGATCGCCTCAGGGAGGAGCTGACTGATTCTGTGGAGTGGGGAAAAGGGGATTTTCTCTGTCTCATGGCCCAACAGGTATAGTCAAAATTACGCTTCTCTCCATGGAGAGAATACCAATTAATAGCAATAAGAATCAGGCATCCCACTGTTCATTCTGTCACAGAAACAGAAGAGATGGATAAAATTATACCCACTAACAAAAATTTAAAGCCCTGTATCTTAGGGAATGACATTCAATTTTAGCAATGCTGTTACTCCTCTTTCTCTTACTAACCTGTATTTAAGTCCCTGATCCTGTCTGGAGATTCTTTGACTTTCCTTAACCTTAGCTTTCCCTATAATTGGTCATTTATTTCTCTTCAACTGCTCTTTTTCTCAAGCAAGAGTGTCAGCTGAGGAATGTGCCCACCTCAGTGGACTGCACACTTTCACTTGGTAACCTCACTGAGCTTCAGAATCAACAGCTGTAAAAAGATTATTTCCATGGAAGCAAGTGCATCTCGTTCTGACAGCTGCCTTAATAACAGGTTCAGGATGGCAGTGTCCATAACCCATTTGTTTTTTTAGAGGATTTCTTTCACAATTAGCATTAAATTTCTTCTGTCTTGAGAAAAAAAAAAACAGATGAAACCTGAAAATCTAGCAAGATTGTGGGCCAAATATTACAATCCTTATATAAGTAATTCAGCACAATTCAGTAATTCTTTACAGAAGAGTAAAAATCCAGGTAGTTGTTTTAATCATCGCAATTACTGTATCTGAGCTTTTTTTTTTTGTGGAAATCTAGAGTAATCGATAAATGCTTTGTTGCTGTACTTAGTGACAAAGTATAATGCCTGTGTAGTAGTGTTTCAAATGCAATACATGGAGGTTTGACACTGCATGGCTATTTATAATAGCAGAAATGGAACATCTCTTTTTTCCTACAAATTATTCAAGGATAAATCAGACTCACCTCGACCTTACCCCCATGTTTTAGTAGGCAGGACATACTGGAAGACACTTCAGAAGTTGTGCAGTAGCAGATATTGCATCCCTGTCTGTGAAAAGGAGCCAAGAGTTCATGTCCAAAGCCACCCTTCTGCTTAGAGTGGAGAGCAAGTGGCTTTGCTCTGAGTGTGTTCGATATTTGACAAGCTCTGCTGTCAGTAAGGCAGATCAGTGTGCAGTGTATTCACACTGCAGGATTCAAGGCCTTCAAAGCTGAGAGCCAGACACCTCTTACTGCCACCATTCTGCCAGGCTTCACCAGAGGAGAAAATCATATCTGTAAGGCTTCAGAAAAAGATTCTCCTTCCAATGTTAAAATGATTTTTCTTATTGCCATTACAACAGCTCTGCATTGCTAATTAACTTTCCTCTTCTTGTGCTTTAAGAATCCCTTTCTTCTTCCTATCAGTATGGCTCAGGCACCTTTGGAGTTCTCCTGAGACAGAGAATACCATGCAGGTCTCAGAGCAACCCGATCATTTTCAGAAAAACTGCCCAACAAAACCTTAACTACTTACTCCTAGTCAAAATTTCAGTCATGAAAATATGCAATCAGTTTCATTCACTGTTTACAAAAGTCCTCGGGTCTCTGTGCTTTCTCTGGTCCTTGTGTAAGCACAAAGATAAACGTTTTCCTTTTAATGCTTCAAGAGGCCACCCTGATTTGACTTTTTAATGGCTTATTAAAAGAATAACTGTGTCATTATGATTCACTTCGGTTCAGAGAAAAATCAGCCCATAATACTAATAGTAATCCTTTACTATTTTCTTGTGATTTTTATGGGTCTCAAAGCAACCTTCTCTTCTCCAAGCTGAACAGCCCTAATTTACTCAGTCTGTCCTTGTAGGGAAGGCGCTCCAGTCCTCTTATGAACTTTGT